CTGCAGTCCCTCAAGGAGCTAGGGGCGGCTGGCGTCCAGGTCCGTGTCGGCAAGGGCACCTCGGTCAAGGCGGCTTACGCCGCCGAGAACCGCACGGAGGTGAGCATCGGCGCAGGCCTCGCGGGCATCCACCACGCCAAGACGGTGCTCGTGACGAGGCCGGACTCCACAGTTAGCGCCGTGATAGGAAGCCTAAACTTTAGTGCTAGTTCACGGGCCAACGCGGAGGTCGGCATCGCGGTCGCCAGTGTGCTGACCTCTGAATTTAGCCAAAAGTGGCTAGATTCGTTTTGCACCGAGTGGTCCAAGGCGCTGAAGCTCGAGGAGTTCGAAGCACCTCAGCGGAACCACCGCGGGCGGGCAAAACCCTCAAATGTCCAGCAGCCCGCCGCTCCACCCCACGTGGAGCCTCAGTGACAGTGGACTATGAAGTCGCGTGACCCTGCCGCTCCGCCCTTCTACCACCTGTGCAACTTCAGTTTGTGGGTCGCAGCCCCTATCTTCTTTCCATGATACTACAGGGTGGCGTAATCCGCTCTACAGTTCCTTTGACGGAGCGGCTATGGAGCACGGTGTGCTCCCGAAGCGCGTGAGTAACGCCCGCATCGCTTAGCTGCTCTTTCACAAATCCCTTTGGCCGCGTGCTCCCGGCTGTGTACAGTAATGAACCATACCTCGTGCAGCACAGGGGGGCCCGTGAAAAACGAAGGTCTTTTGCTGAGTGCGAAGGGTTTGTAGGAGGGCAGGGTCTGTAGGTCAGTTTTACGGCCTCCGGCCGCCCGCGGAATCCTACGGCTCTATCGTGCTCTCGGCTGAGGGGCGAATGTAACTGTACATAGTCTGCGGGCTGGCTGTTGTGCTGTACGCTTTTATGCATGCTCTTCTGTAATTCGTATTCATAACATTTTTGGCTCAAGTGAGCACGGCAGTGTGTCGTTGGTAGCTTCTCGTTGCCGCGACGCAATTGCGCGCAGCCCGTCCTGGGCGGACGTTCGACCTGTCACGGTTGTTGGACTTTCTGCTTGGACGGAAAACGAGGGTGCGTGCTGCCCCTTTGGGTTTCCGTTCTCCCACATCTACTACTACACTACTACTACTACTACTACTACTACTACTACTACTACTACTACTACTACTACTACTACTACTAGAACTACTACTAGAACTACTACTATACTACTACTACTGCTACTACTGCTACTACTGCTACTACTGCTACTACTACTACTACTACTACTACTATACTACTGCTATACTACTACTACTACTACTACTACTACTACTACTACTACTACTACTACTACTACTACTACGACTATACTACTACTGCTACTAGTCCTGCTGCTACTACTGCTAGTACTACTACTACTACTACTACTACTACTACTACTACTACTACTACTACTACTCCTCCTGCTACACTACTACTACTACTACTACTACTACTACTACTACTACTACTACTACTACTACTCACTACTAACTACGACTACTACTACTTCCTACACTATACTAATACTACATAACGACTACTACTACACTCCTATACGACTACTACTACTACTACTACTACTACTAATACGACTACTCTACTACTACTACTACTACTACTACACTACTAGTAAGGTTTCCGATTCCTCCGGCCCCCTAGCGCCAGGGTGCCGGTCCTCCGGCCCTGCTCTTCTACTAGTACTAGTATACAAAACCTACGCAGTGTACACCATAACCAGTGGGGGACCATAACCACTATACGTACCGTCCTGGATGCCAGGACTGCATAACCGCTATTTTACCGTCCTGGATGCCAGGACTGCAAAGATCTACTTGCAAAACTGATAAACTATTTATGTGCTGTGTATGCAGAAGCTGAAGCCCCGAAAGCCAAGCAGTGTTTGCAGAAGCTGAAGCCCCGAAAGCCCAAGCAGTGTTTGCAGAAGCTGAAGCCCCGAAAACCCAAGCAGTGTTTGCACAAGCTGAAGCACCGAAAGCCAAGCAGTGTTTGCAGAAGCTGTAGTAGTAGGTGAAGGTTTGGCTGCTTTGCGCCACCCCTCCGGAGGCAGAGAACGGCCGTTGGCACCTCGCCACGCCACACAAATTCATTAACACCCTTTTCGTACGGCCAGAAGCTGAAGCACCGATTGCAGAAGCTGAATCACCGAAAGCCAGGCGGTGTTCGCAATGCTGCAGCCGGTGGTGCTCGAGATTTTGGATCCCTTGCCTCCAACACCATGAAGAAAGGCTTCTTGCTGCCGAAAAATGATGCGAAGACCGAGAAACCCAAGAAGACGCGGCCACCCGAGAAGACCGAAAAGGATGATGCTCTTCAACAGCCGGCGGTCTCGAGCTCAGCCGCCGCCGAGGTTCCGAAGATCTATACCCAACCAGAGATCAACCACTTCGTGAAGCAGCTGGAGGTTATGAGACGTTGGGGATCCGACGACTTCACCTATATCACGGAATCGGGAGAAATCTTCGGCAAAGGAGATCTGGAAGAGATTGTTCGTCGCTATGGACGATAGATCGCTCTGTGCACCCGCGGCGGATGAAAATTGAATTTCCTGCCTTGGTTGGCTGCCCCAAGTTGCTCAAATGTATTGCTTTAGGTTGCTGCTCGCTTGGATCTTTGCATTCCGCTTTCTGTTGCTGCGTGTTGGTCAATGTCAGCATGGCAGCATCTTTTGTATTCAAGGTGTTTGGGAAGGGGCTCCCGTAGGCGGCCCTGGAATTCCAGGGCATGGCGAACGACCCCATGCGAGTGAAGCTGGAGCAGCTTGACGCTCTTTCGGGAGAAGCCGAGAACGACCCGGCGAAGTTCGGGCGGCTTCTGAACACCGCTATGAGGGCGGGGGCTGCTGCTGGCGGAGTGGCTGGGCAGGGCTTTTCGGACACCTTCCTGCAGGACCATTCGGGCTCAGGGAACTGGAAGAAAAGCAAACAAACATGCTGCCGCCTATCTAGGACACTCAGCAGACGGAGGCCACGATCGACGCGCAAGAGGAGCAGGACCTGATGAAAGAACTCGAGTCTCAGCTCTACGGCTGCGAGATGGACATCTCCTCCCAGGACTTCAATCCCGCCAAACCCATCCTGTTTCCGATACGTGCCATATCTGTTTCCAGGACGCCCAGCCGACCCAGTACGATCTGCCACCTGCTGACTTGCAGACAGAAGGACATCCATGACTCGCGTTTTGTTGCAGCTTCAGTGTGCACATGTTCTGGTTTGTTTCGATCACAGGTACAAAGGATGGCTTTGATGCCACGTTGGAGCATCTCATGCGTGAGGTCGGGCTCGAGGAACGCGAGGATGATGCGATCAGAAAATCTCCAAAGCGAGAGCTTGAAATTGATTTTGCCAGGGTCGCCAAGGAACTGGAGGATGAAACCATGTTGGCCAAGGAACATGAGGAAGCTGAGAAAGCCAGCAGAATGGCGAAGGAAAGGGAGGAAACTGAGAAAGCAAGGTTGGCCAAGGAAAAGGAAGAAGCTGAGAAAGTAAGCAAAATGATCAAGCAAATGGAGGAAGCTGAGAAAGGCAGGTTGGCCAAGGAAAGGGAGGAAGCCGAGAAAGCCATCAGAATGGCCAAGGAAATGGAGCAAGCCAAGCTGGCCAAGGAAAGGGAGGAAACTGAGAAAGCCAGGATGGCCAAGGAAATGGAGGAAGCCAACTGGCCAAGGAAAGGGAGGAAGCTGAGAAAGTCAGGATGGCCAAGGAAATGGAGGAAGCCAAGCTGGCCAAGGAAAGGGAGGAAGCTGAGAAAGCCAAGGAAAGGGAGGAAGCCGAGAAAGCCATCAGAATGGCGAAGGAAATGGAGGAAGCCAAGCTGGCCAAGGAAAGGGAGGAAACTGAGAAAGCCAGGATGGCCAAGGAAATGGAGGAAGCCAAGCTGGCCAAGGAAAGGGAGGAAGCTGAGAAAGCCAGGATGGCCAAGGAAAGGGAGGAAGCTGAGAATGCCAGGTTGGCCAAGGAAAGGGAACAGTTCAGGCTGGCAAGATTGGCCAAGGACAAGGAGGAGGCCGAACATATGAGATCGGCCAAGGACAAGGCCAAGGAAAAGGAAGACGCTGATAAAGCCAAGGTGGAGGCCGTGCGACTTGTAAGAAACTAAGAAACCTTAACCCCTAAACCATAAGTATAAACCCCATAACCTAGAACCTCAACATTAAACCCGAAGCCTTAACTCCCTAAATTTTATACAACCCTAAACCCCAAAGCCTAAATCCGCCACTGTCAGGTCGACATGGCAACACAGGCGGCAAAAAAATACCAGGCTTTGCCAATGAACGCGACAAAGTTGCAAAAGCTACAGCTCTTGCAGGACATTATGGCTACTGGGGATGAGGGTTGCAAGCAGTTCTGCAAGGATGAGCTTGCAAAACTGATCAAGCCGAAGGCAGCAACGCCAGCTCCGGCCCCTACCAGTGATGCCGATCCTCCGGCTCCTACCACAACGGGTGCCGATCCTCCGGCCCCTACCACCAGGGGTGCCGATCCTCCGGCCGCTACCACCAGGGGTGCCGATCCTCCGGCCCCTACCACCAGGGGTGCCGTTCCTCCGGCCCCTAATGCCCCGACCTTTGATGATGTCAGTGCGAAGATGGGTTGGTCAAGTCCTGCAACCCCACGCATGGTGGAGGCACCTGGTACGCCATCTCCTGCAACGCCTGGCAGTGCAATCACAACGCCTGGCAGTGCAAAAACAACGCCTGGCAGTGCAAGCGACGGCTTGGTCCAAGGTTCTGCGCCACTCTACAACCGAAAGAACGCCGCCATGTTCTTGAATCGCCTGAAAGGCAACCCAAAGAGGATGCAAGCCTTGCCTGATGACTTGGCAAAGTTGGTGCGGGACGAAGATTCAAAGAGCAAAGCCATCGACTTGATCGTCGCTGCAGGAGGAGACGAAAATGAGCTGGTCGGGCAGTGGACTGCATCGTCCATTTCTGTGGGGACGGACAAGGAAAAGGGAAAGATGAAACCTTTGACGGAACAGGAATTGATCGGCAAGTACGGTGCGGTCAATGCTGCGAAGGTGATGGAGGAAAAAAGGAAGGCTGGTTTGGAGGTTGATGATCCCAATTGTAAAGGGCTCAAGCTTTACTTGCACAACGAGTGGCAGAGGGAATGGACGAGAGGCACAGAAGAACGTTTCTTGCTTGCATTCATACATCGTGCATCCAGTTATGTTCGACTTCAACATTTATGTAGCATTCGTGCATTCATGCGAACGGAATCCGAGGAAGCAGTTTCACTGCTTCCGGAGAAGTTCGTGCGGGTGACGCTGCCAACGTTGCACAAATTCTCAGTGTGCCCCGGCGGGCGCTGACAGGGCCCGGCCAGGATGATGAGGACAATGTGGACATGGAGGAGGACCCAAAGCCACTTCCGAACAAAAAACCAAAGAAAGCCAGGAAAAATGAAGCCAGCGGCAAAGAGAAAGACGAAGACGGTGAAACTGAGCCGGAAGCACCACGAGTGGAGAAACTTACACCGCTGGACAAGGCGGCAGACTTAAGGGGGCGGGCCCTCTCGAAGGCCAACCACGCTGGCTCGATGCGGAAGCAGTTGAAAGGAGTCAGCTATGCGACTGAATGCCTCAAGGAGATGACCAACTTCGAGCAGGAGTTCCAGTGCCTTGGCTGCATTGATACCTACTAGATTGTTTTATGAGCCTCTGCCCCACAGGGCAGGCTACCCTGGTCTAGCCATATGAACAAGAAGTCTTGACAGACGCTCATGTGGCCCCAACCCAGTACTATACGGCCAAGGGCGATCTACGACCAGGTGGACAAGCTCATCTCTGAGCTGGTCCACGATGATGGGGTCTATCTTCCCATTGCTACCAGATATCTCGATATCGCGAAGCGTTATGAGAGGCCCAGCAAGGTAGCAAACAGCTTGATCCGAGCTGCGAAGGCGACTCCGAAGGATCCAACCGCGCCCAAAGGATCGGCTAAAGCCAAGTCCAAGAAGCGCAAAGCCGCGGAGGGAGCCTAGAAAGAATCTTGGCACCCGGGGTCGGTGCTCAGATGGGCATGTCGTGCTGTTCACGTATATTAGAATATGTTGGAATACTCCAAGGTTACTGGTAACAGATCCATCTGGATTTTGCACATCTCATTTTCTTCCAGTGTCCGACACTGATAACGTACAGTTGGTGTAGGGTCCTCGCCCAAGGGCTCGAGGACCCAAGCCAGTGCTCTCGACTTTCACAATCCTTGGGGAATCGATCGTCGCTCTGGTGCCAAAAATTGCTTGCTGCAGATGCCCTGACGGGGTTTCACGTGATGGGGTGGAAGGAATGAAAAACATTGTTGCCAGGTACGTGCCCTTGACAGAGTCTGGTCGGCCTGCCTTTACGACACGTCGTCGTGGGATGCTGCTGGGACCGCAATATATGCAATAAGCATAAACACGCCACTGGAGCAAGGACCGCAGATGACTTTGACTCCGCTGGTGCAGCTTTACTGGCCCAGCGCATGGGTGCTGGAGACTCTTGACTTGGATGTATCCAAGCACGTCAGCTATATAGTCCGTGTGCAACACTCTTGGACCTTGCAGCCAGAACACACATTCTGAGGCGATACCTGTGGCCGAAACAAGCAGAATAGCATCTGCCTTCCGGCGAGATGGGGCATCTGGACTTGCCCTTTCACAAATGGCAAGCAGCGAACGGGAGAGGGATTTCTTCCGCTGGATGAAGTTACCCATCCAGCCCCTGCTGGTGGATTTGCCTGTGTGGAGCAACACCAAAGAACGCAAGGACAAACAACTGATATTTGAGAAAACAGCTTTCTGTCTTCCCAGTGATGTTCTCTGCGAGCTTTGCAAAAGATCACTGGTGGAAACCTGTCTTATTGGACATTCGCACCTCGGCCCGCGCCTGATTGCTTGGTTCATTGTTGGTGCATGTATTGCTCATGGACGCACATTTCCTGCTTTGATATCTCAGGTCAGTAGATGAATGGTGGAAGCAAGAACGGGACCAGGTTTACATACGGGAGATCTCCCGGAACAATCCCAACTACCAGGACATGCTTCCATTACGCTTTCATGAGGATGGTGTACCAACAACTAAGAGCGAAACATGCAACTTCTGGTCTTGGACCACGCCTTTGGCTAGCCGCGGAAGCGAGATCTCTCGCTTCTGTCCCTCGGAAATTTTCGATTAGCAATATTCTTTTAGTTGGACAACCCCAAAGGCTCCATGTATCGTCATAGCCGATACTTGGGCAAAATTGTGCTGAGCGGACACATTGTGCCCAGACGTTACTTGAGATTTGGAGGGGTTTGAAGCCATGCCTATTGATGGGTTTGGGTATGGCGATCTCGAAGGATTAATGACACGTTTTTGCAATTGATCATCAAGTGAAACGGCATTATTGTACGACTTGCATTAGGGTTTCACGACCTCGCTCGATGGGTTGGGTTTGCCTGGGGTTTGACGACCTCGCTCTTGATGGGTTGGGTTTGCCTTTCACGACCTCGCTCTTGATGGGTTGGGTTTGCCTGGGGTTTCCCGACCTCGCTCTTGATGGGTTGGGTTTGCCGTCGATGGATTTTCGAGGGTTTCGACACCTATATCGACCTGATTTTTACTTTGTCTCGATGTACTGGGCCGGGGTTATTTGTCTTTACTGTGTCACAATATTTTATATATGTCCGTCTTCTTTCCTGTGTGTGTGTGTAAGTGTGTGTGTGTGTGCCTGCACGTTGGTGTGTAAGTACAAGTGTAGGTACTGTATATAAGTACTGTAAGTGTAAGTAGTATGTGTGTGTGTGTGTGTGTGTGGTGTGTGGTGTGTGTGTGTACCGCAGCAGTACTAGTACTGTGGGTCGGTGGTTAGTACTAGTAATACTAGTACTAGTGTAGGTCTGGGAATTCGTTTGTAATATAATTATTGTATATAATATGTACAGGTGTGTGCTGCTTTTGTACTGTGTGTTCTCGCGAATGAGCTTATGCACGTGTAACGTCTACATCCGCCGTGTTCTGCAGGAGGAACCTCGAGCAAATGTGTGTATACAGCATGTCTCGGTACTAGCTAGTATAGTACTAGCTACGTATAGTAGCTGTGCAGTACATGTACAGCAGTACAGATCGCTCGCCTGCAGGTGGAGCCTGGATACATACATATATATATATATGTATGTATGTATGTATATATTATATAGCTGGCTATAGTGCAGGTGCACGCCTTATCTGGCACACACTCGCTCGCTCGAAGACATGTGCCTGTAGCTAGACGTGTGTACATGTATGGGCCGTATGGGGTATATCATGTCTAGAGCTCGGTTCCATAATTGACTGCATTTTTACAATGCCGGGCCGCTGGATCATGCTTCACGAATGTTCGTCGAAGCGAAAGGCAGGTGCGCCCACCCCTATCAGCTGCCAGTACGTGCTGTGAGTGTGCAGTGGCCATGCATGCAGTGATCGATTGCAATCCTTGCCCTTGCATAGCTCATGAATCTGCAGTTTTCGGGGCCGAGCGAGCATGTGCACGGGTGCATGGCAGTCCAGATGTTTGCAATTCGGTCTGCAAGTCTTCGGGGCCGATCGCAGATCTAGAACACTTCAGCTTAAGCTTCTATGCATCACATGCCGATCGGGCTTCAAGAGGTGAAGGATCCGCTGCCAAAATGGCAGAACCAGAGTTCAAGTTCCTCGATGGTGTGCGGCGGTCTGCTCAAGGCGAATTAATCCGCGGTAAGCAGGTTATACGGCCCCTGCGGTTTTTCGTGAGTGAAACTAGTCAGCATATGATTGCACCGGATGCACATCCTGATATGCAGATCGAACGTGTTCCGAATCCCAGGATTCGGCAATGAGAATCGTGGCATGCCTCCGCCCGCTGGTGGAGTCCCGCTTGGAGGAGCTTCGGCAAGACAAGGCGACTCGAGTTGCATGTTCCGGCTGGTGTGCTTCTCTATATGTCTGCTAGCTGCTTCTATTTCTATTTTGGATCAGAAGCCCAGGCTACCAAGCTGGTAGATGTCTTCGACACGAACATTTCGCAGCATGATATGATGTCGAAGAAGAACTTTGAGGTCATGAAATGCTACGGGGCTCAGCTTTTCCACAACGTGGAAGAAAGGAAACAGCTCATCTCGATGAAAGAGCACCGGGCTGCTGTCCTTTACTTGTCTTGCTGCTACAATCTCCAGAAGGTTTCGAAGGGTAGCAAGCAGCGGGTGAAGGATTGGGCCGAGCTCCAGGGGACACGGTTAAGATGGCTGGCTGCATATGTTGTGCAGTCAGTCTGCCGGACCAGCCAGTCGAGGACTGCCGGACCACGCAGCTCATGATCACCATTGATCGTTCATGCATATTTATCGAATAATATATCGATATCGCAGGAGTGACGAGATGAAAATCCTCAAGGGGATTTATTTGGCCGTGAACGGCCGCTCCCTTCCCGAGAAGCCAGAGCGCAGATCCTCGGAGTCGAGTCTGAGCTCGGAGGTGCTTCCATAAAGAACACTATTAAGTACTATATCTACCATTTCTGTGGCTTTCCATGCATATCTAGACTTTTCCTTAAGCCCGGCAGGTGATCGACATCGATGATTGTGCCGACGATGACGAGGAGGCCGGAGATATCTTTGAAATCTTCGATGAGGATGAGGAAGCTTTTGGACCGCAACATATTTCGTTGTGGCTTCGTGCTTTCGGAGGTTGAGTGTGTGTTTGAATGTGCGGTTTGAGTTGGTCGGGGGATCCAAGGTTCCCGGCGAAGAGAAACCGACGCCATCCGATGAGATTGGCGAGGCTAGAGCCAGGGGTTCAGTTGCTGCAATGATTTGAGTTGAAAACATATTTCAAGTGCAGGACCGTCTGGGTGTGGATTCCGATTGCCCACGTCCCGAGTTGCATGGCCAGGTGCACAAAATAGTTGTCTGAGTTTCAATGCAAAATAGGCTAAGCTTTAAGGGTTTCCTGGGTTTACAGCGGGTTTCAATCCGCAGCAGGCTGGAGTGCCAAACGATGGGTCACAGATGATCATCGATGACGACAGCGAGGATGATCGTGAAGCTGATGAGGAGGGGTCAGTGCGAGTGGTATTGAATCGATGAAGCAAAACCTTAAGCTTGAGTTTTCATGTAGATCCGATCCAGGGGACCATCCAACTGAAAGCGGAGCTGGACCGGGCACTGGACTCACGGCTGCATTGTAATGGGGCTGCCGGGGTTTCAACTGCTGATCTATTGAAAACATATTTCAAATTCAGGACGCTCTGGGTGTGAATGCCGATTGCCCACTTCTCGAGTTGCATGGCCAGGTGCACAAAATAGTTGCTTTAGTTATCTTTAGACTAGTCTAGGGCTTTCGTGGGTTTACTGTACATGTGGGTTCCGTGTTCCATCCGCAGCAGGCTGGGAAGCAAGATGCTGGGTCAAATCTGGTCACCGTCTGCAGTGACAACGAGGATGCTCCTGAAGCTGACGAGGATAGAACGAGTGGTGTTAAGATCATGATGAATGAAGCACGACCTTGGTTTTTTCATGTAGTTCCGATACAGGAGACCATCAGACAGAAAGATCTGCTGAACCGGGAACTGGACTCACGGCTGCATTGTGATGGGGCCCCTGGAACATTTTCATCAACCTCGAAAATCGCAAGATTTACCGTTTTCAGGAGGATCGACGCCATCGACACCATGGGACTTTCAGGATTCAAGAGCTGCCCGACTGGCTGCTGAAGGACTGAAAAGCCAGGGGGACGAAATGTGTGAATCACTTATATAATAATATACATGCCAGCCGCACTTCTGCACGCAAGGGCCCCGATGCTTCGACTTCGAGAGCTGAGGCCACGTGGATTGTATTCGATCATTATTATGTATGTGCAATAATAAAATATATTCCCGATCGCCAATCCTAAGAAGCCGTAGACCCTAGTGCTAGCATGCTCGTATACGTAGTGATGAATCATGCATCATGTGCTCGAGCTCCTTGGGCCTAAGGTACGTGATGAGGAGGACCTTGGGAAATTG